TTCGTACGGAGGCCTAACAAAGGATATAACAAAGTAATTCATTCACACCTTCATTTTCTTTGTCTGACATCTCATCCATCAAAACAGCATCATCGGCCTGTTCACTTCGTTGTCAGGATCATCATCAACATCTGGATCTATGTTGCATTCTGAAAAACCACAAAAAACAAACACAGATTTAACAAGAGCAGTGAAAAATAAATACATGTACATTATAATCTTTGCAAGGGTAAGTTCATAGCAGACAGCTGTGGATAGTCATCCCTGTTTTGCTTTTCATGTAAACAGCACAGCTGGTACCACAACTAACTCTTCAATACAAAGGGTATTTAGAGAGACAATTCTGCAAGTGTCACATTTTTTTAAAACACATGAGTATCCAAAATATATCAAAATATGCAAATTAGCTCATTAAATGTCATGATTATGCAAATAATGCAATGAAAAGCATCACACAACATCTTGGCACCTCAGTCTGTCACCCTACCAGGTTTCAATGAATCAGGTATAGCGTTTAGCTGCAGAGCATTTTTTTAAGGTTAACCTAAATTGCATTGCAAATAAGCTAATTGAAATTCATGAATATGCAAATAATACAGCTCAAAGCAACACATGATATTGTGGCACCTCACTCTATCACCCTACCAAGTTGAGTAAATCGGGCATAGCGTTTAACCTGCGGATCATCCTACCAAGTTTTGGAGTAAATCAAGCATAGCGTTTAGCCTGCGGAGCATTTTAGAAGGGTTAACCGAAACGTTAACCGAATCGGTTAATGGAAAGACGGACATAGATAATTTGGATTAGTATGTGCCACCATGAACGTTCAGTAAGGCGACACAAAAATCAAATCACATATTCAAGTATTTGAAATGTTGGCAGCTTCCCATATATTGTATCTCGGATCAATTCTTATTAAAACTGGAGGTACTAATGAAGACATCCCAGTTTGCTTACCAAAAGCATGGAACTTCACAAACTGAAGGATATAGCAAGCATACAAAACTAAGGAAATTATACAATATAAAAACTGTGTTGTATGAGAGTGAAATGAATGATTGAGATGTAACATAAAAGTTTTCTGGCCTAATGTAATCTCAAACTAGAAACCGTTATGATCTCACTAACCAATCAGATATCACTTTAGATAAAAGTAGAAGGAAATGAAAATGGTATGGCATATTCTCAGCCATTCTATCTAGCACAAAACATAAAAAAATAGTCATACCTTCATCTGCATCTACACGAACATCATCCAACGTCTTTCCTGCCATTGCCTTTAGGTCTCCCTTCTCATGCTGAAGAGTACTTTAGAAATCTTTGCTACTTGCAGTGACGCATCTGGCAGGCGGTAGTAGGCTCTGTGGGTTCTTATGTCATGGCCCATGAAGGTGGCTAAAAGTCCACTTCATTATCCTTCAAATTCATGATCTGAGAGCTGATAGCAATGTGCTTCCTGAGTTTTGTCAATCTAAGCTGATCTGGATACTTTGCTCCACACTTTTGGGCATGATTTCGCACTGTATCAGTTGCTCTCAAGTGGCCTCTTCCATCGGGGTTTGCAAACAAGTAGGGATTTCCATCATTGACTACTTGTGACCTTTTCTCCATCAACAAGTCAATGCTGCCTTTCATGTCATCTGTTAGCAAAACGGGTACAGTGTTATTGCATTTCCCATTAATCTCCACCCTCCATACCACATTGCACAACGCCTTTTCCCATTTGGTTAGGCCTTCACCAAATATTCCACCTTCTCCTTTTGTGATACACTTGTAATCACTGAGGGGCATCTTTGAAACTTCTCCCGGACGCTTCCTGTTGAAAACACACACCTGGGTCAGGGTAACCTCAGCCAACTGTTTCCATCTGTCAAGGGTCTCATCACTACTGCAGCTGTTCAGCTTCTGTTTTCCCTCTTTTGTTTCTTTTCTCACATAATTGGACAGTGCAACAACATCTGTTGTCAAAGGAAGCAGCCTTGATGTATTTCTCTTGTTTACTTTTAATGTACGCAGTGCATGTGTGCTTACTTCTGCTTCCCACTTGAGAGTATATGATTTGATGAACTGTTTGCATTTCTTTTCCAAACCAGCATCTGCTTGCAACAGAGCATTTCCCATAAGGACTTTGGCAGCCGTCACCAGTGTATATCCGACTTTCAGTGCCAGGCTAGGTGTTGTGTACAAATGTGTATCCTCATTAAATCCTGCAGCCTTCCTAGTTGCAGCTATGACCTCATTAAATTTGGTAGGACAAATCAAATCTACTAATGAAGCCGATGGGTGATCATTCAATTTTCTGTACTCACGAACCAGTCGTGCAAGTTCACGCAATTTTTGCCGTATATATGAATACTGGTCTTTGTCATGCCCATGCTTCAATGTCAGCCTCTCTGCTACTTGCTGCATTAATCTATCTGATTTCACAACTCTCAATATTTCATCATCGACTCCCATTGATAATATCATGTGCACCTTTGGGCTTACTCCTGATGGGCCTGGAAGCATCATTCTACCAGTTTGAACATGTAAGGTTCTTTTTTTCTTCTTGGGTGGTTCACAGGTCTCATCCTCATCCTCAACATCTGGTCGCAATTTACATCTATGAACATGCCTGTACAAATCATCCTTGGAATAGAAAGCATAACAATGACTACATGGCAAATATTCTTCTGGATCCACATCATATTTCGGTCTGTATGCAACAATCAAGGTACCTTTATTTTCTTGAAGGACTTTGACATTGTGACGATAGTTTCCGTAATTTCTCATTTTAGCTAGCAAGTTTGCCTTTTCTTTCATGTCTTTAGTTGCAATCCATTGCTGAACCTCAGTCTCGTTGACATGTTGTGGTGTAAGCAGATGCCTCGGCAGTTTCTTTTGTGTTGACTACAAAATTTACAGTACTGAGGTTTGTCCCACTTTCTACAGTTGTTGTTTGAAGTGGTCATCACATTAATACTGCAACTGGAGCTTGAGACTTTTGCACTTTGAACACTTGCAGAGGCATGGGCAGGTGAGGTATTAGGTACTGAATGGTCAACAGGCATGGCTTCACTCTCCTTATTATCACTGACAGAAACTGCCACAGAGTTACTTTGACGTCCACGTACAAACCGAAATGGAATGAAATCAGCCTCATCACTGCTACTACCTTCTGGATCAGATTCGGCTTCATAATCACTATCGGAATCATCTCCAGATGGTTCAGATGCGACAGGAGTGTCGTCATCTCCAGATGGTTCAGATGCGACAGGAGTGTCGTCATCTCCAGATGGTTCAGATGCGACAGGAGTGTCGTCATCTCCAGATGGTTCAGATGCGACAGGAGTGTTGTCATCTCCAGATGGTTCAGATGCGACAGGAGTGACGTCATCTCCAGATGGTTCAGATGCGACAGGAGTGTCGCCATCTCCAGATGGTTCAGATGCGATAGGAGTGTCGTCATCTCCAGATGGTTCAGATGCGACAGGAGTGTCGTCATCTCCAGATGGTTCAGATGCGACAGGAGTGTCGTCATCTCCAGATGGTTCAGATGCGACAGGAGTGTCGTCATCTCCAGATGGTTCAGATGCGACAGGAGTGTCGTCATCTCCAGATGGTTCAGATGCGACAGGAGTGTTGTCATCTCCAGATGGTTCAGATGCGACAGGAGTGTTGTCATCTCCAGATGGTTCAGATGCGACAGGAGTGTCGTCATCTCCAGATGGTTCAGATGCGACAGGAGTGTCGTCATCTCCAGATGGTTCAGATGCGACAGGAGTGTTGTCATCTCCAGATGGTTCAGATGCGACAGGAGTGTTGTCATCTCCAGATGGTTCAGATGCGACAGGAGTGTCGTCATCACCGGTCCAGTGAACATTTGAGCCAGATGGTGCAGCATCCAGAACTCCCACCTGAAATTATCGGAAACGGAAACAATTCATGAGTTTAGAAATTAAGAATTAGCCATAATATGCAAAAGTTTTGCATGCATTTCAATTTCGCGAGCAAGACAATTCACAATTTTTTTAAAATGCATTTTCGAACATCAATTGGTAATATTAACAAATCGCTAAATTTGAATGCCACTACAATGGCCAATTGCCACTATCCATGGTGTGTAATTCCAAACTCAATCAAAGACATAAAACTTTGATTCTGTAGTAAGATGAGATTCATTTTTAAACAAGTCAACGCAAAGCGTAGCATCCCTCGCAGGGTACAAATGGCCTATATACGTCAGAACAAGTTACCTCCATTGGACTATATTATTATATTTCTAGGCAAGGATTTTCACATATATAATTACCGGTAGGTGTTTTTGCATATTTAATGAGCTATGACCTTTCACCTTTGACCTACATACTCAGAAATCGAAATTAGGCTGTACATGTATTTTGATACCATGTACCTTCATATCAAATTTCATTAAAATCCGTCAAACATTACTCAAGTTATCGAATGGAAACCAGATTTGCATATTTAATGAGCTATGACCTTTGACCTACATACTCCGAAATCGAACTTAGACTTTGTTTTAATACCATGAACCTTCATATCAAATTTCATTAAAATTCGTCAAACATTACTCAAGTTATCGAATGGAAACCAGATTTGCATATTTAATGAGCTATGACCTTTGACCTAGGTACATACTCCGAAATCGAACTTAGCCTGTATTTTGATATCATGTACCTTCATATCAAATTCCATTAAAATTTGTCAAACATTACTGAAGTTATCGATCGGAAACCAAATTTGTTACGAACGGACGCACGCACGGACGGACGCACGCATGGAAGGAAGGACGGACGGCAGCGTTACTATATCCCCTCCGACTTCGTCGGCGAGGGGATAATAAAAGTTTTATTTTTTTTTAAACCAAAAAGTGCGACAAAAGGCAGATTTTGGCACTTTTGGTCACAATAAAAAAAAAAAAACTTACATAAAAATATCAAGATGAAGAATCTACAAACTAACGGTAGGTAAGAATGACCACAATTTTGACCAAGTTGTGGTAATTCTGACCAATAAATTGCGTAGCTTTCCTGTTAACTATTGAGCAGCACTTTTGGTCAAATTTGAGGTCAGATATGGAACTTATGACTTCTTTCCTTTCCCCAAAAATTGTACTTTCATGATCTTTGCATAATGTTTTGCACACTTTGAACGTTGGCACCCCCCTTTAACATATTTAAACTGATTTTTTGTCGTACAGTGGAATCTCTTTTACACAAAATCGAGCTAAAACATGACATTTATTTTTAACTGTCAAGGTACCTTTATTTACCACTAATCTATGAGACAGGGCATCTAAAGATCTTAAATTGATTTTTAAATTATCAAAATGAGCAGAAATAGAATTTACTTGAGCCCGGGGTCAATTAACGTACTCTCCTATCCCACCTTGGCCTCGCAAGTCGTTTTTGGCTTGCACCTTCTCATTTTTTAACCGATTTTTTAAAGAATCCAAGAAATATAATTCAGCATCATACAAAGGTAGGACATGTAAACATGATACAGCTGAACCTCGGAGCGGAACTTCTTTAACACAAAATCAGTAGGACCACAATATTTTGTTTGTGTTATAAGGATTTTGTGTTATCCACTTAAAATTGCATACAAAATACATGGTTCGGCCAGATATTTACTTTGTGCTATCAGGGTTTTTGTGTCAACAGATTTTGTTTTTATAAAAAGGTTTCACAATTCACATTGTACATCGCATTTTCCCCTTTTTCATGACATTTGGGCTTTGATCACATATCTTGCAGGGAGGGTCAGGTGAAAAGTTTATAGATTATTTTTGGCTAATTACGTTGCAAATTCAATAACCAGAACGTCAATGATGTAGCGCTCATCCGCATCTCGCAACAACAAATATCATAAATTTTATGTGGTACACTTTTGAACTGGTCAAAAAATAAAAATTTGATGCCCTGGAAGGGTTTGTGATTTTTAAATTATTTTTGGAATAAATTTGGCAAACCAAATCAAAATCGGTCAAGAAATGAGGGAGAAGAAGCAATTTTTGTTATTTTTGGAATAAATTTGCATAAATTACCATAAATATTAATGGAGAACAATTTCAAAATTCTGTGTAGAAGTTTAGTGTACCAAAGTTAGCTCTACGATATAAAGCAAACCAAATCAAAATCGGTCGAAATATGAAGGAGAAGCAATTTTTGTTATTTTTGGAATAAATTTGCATAAATTACCATAATTAATTAATGGAGAACAATTTCAAAATTCTGTGTATAATTTTAGTGTTCCAAATTTAGCTCTACCAAATAAGGCAAACCAAATCAAAATCGGTCAAGAAATGAGGGAGAAGCAATTTTTGTTATTTTTGGAATAAATTTGCATAAATTACCATAATTAATTAATGGAGAACAATTTCAAAATTCTGTGTAGAAATTTAGTGTACCAAAGTTAGCTCTACCAGATAAAGCAAACCAAATCAAAATCGGTCGAGAAATGAAGGAGAAGAAGCATTTTTTGTGATTTCGAATCAATTTGCATAAATTAGCATAGATAATGAATTTGACGATTCTGTGTCGAATTTTTAAATTCCCGTCCTAGCCCTATCATATGAAACAATCAGAATCAAAATCGGTTGAAAAATAACGAAGAAGAAGCATTTTGAAAACTGTAGACGGACGGACGAACGGACGACGGACGCCACGCCATGGCATAAGCTCATCGGGCCCTTTGGGCCGGATGAGCTAAAACAAGACTTTTAGAGTTATATAGACAATTAGAATTTTGACAATTCTATAGCGACAGAACATCACCATGTTTGAGTTTCTCTTGGACCCGAGAGAAAACACGCTGTAGGATATGGAGCAATGTAATGCACACACTAATGCATAACTGACATTTTGGAAATGAGGTTTTCTTGGGCATATCTACTACATGTATGTCATTAAGAGGTGGTCCAACTCAGGGAATATCCTTAAACATGACATTAATAATAACACTGCCCAATTATTATAAGGACCATTCTAATTAATGGTATAAACCTGTCGCTACGTACAGATGAAGATGAATTAGATGAAGGATAGCCTATGTGTCTAAGTATAAGATACAAATTAGAAAGAAATGGTACATACCGGTACCTGTCGCCATGGCATATCCAGCATCCCATAGTCGTACCTGATTTCTTCTCCAATTTTGATATTGGATAAAGTATACAAGCAGAGATGTATCATTCCTGAGAGAGAGAACTTCTTCATAATGGAGTTGGGTCTTTTGTGGCAGTCGTTGATATATCGAGCAAGGCAGGAGTTAGGGCATGTGGCGTCGATCCTTTTGACCAAAACATAAGGAAAGAAAGTAAATTTTGATAGATTTTCTTAAAATTATTTAAAGGGGTATTCACAGATTCTAACATGCTCTTATTTAGAACATTAATCAGCAGGTAAACACAATGAAACCTTGTTTAATACCAGTTGATTTCGATTTACATGTAGCATTTGTGAGTTAAGTAAACCCAAACTGTGTAAAAACACTGGACCACAGGTTATTATGTTTTACTACTCTTGAATACAAGAAAAACTCATACAAAGTGTTGTTCTGTCAACAAAAAAACAACAAAATTTTACAAGTCGACCTTAGTATTTCTTGTTATTCAATGTTGTAGTGCACATTACAAAAGGTGTCATTGCTGGTCAATTTGGTCACGCTATCTTGGTTTTGAACCACTGACCGATCGCAACACAAAACCTAGATGGTATACCATAATTCAAACAGTTGCTTGACCCGAAACTTGAACCATTAATTAACCAATGGTTAGTTATATGCACTATGCAAGTGAATTTGTGATGTTCTTCATAATCAATAACAAATTGTGAGGATGTAGAATTCCATTTCACTGGTGATTTCTAACTGCTACTCCTTGCATTGAAAAATAACTTTCAATTATTCAAAAGTGGAGAGTCACACTCATTAAATTCATGTGTAATATATCCACATTTGCCTACACATTTTGATGCAAACCATTGATTGTTGATATTTGCCTAATTAGCTACACATTTTAATGCAAATCATTGATTGTTGAGATTGGCTTCTTGGCAGCTCCCAATGCTGAAATTGTGTTGAATCAACAACTGGCTATATAATAATAACAAGATTACTTTAAATTAGTTTAAAAACTTACAGCATATCTTTCCCATTATGTCTGTACTCAAACACATAGGTGTTATCAACATCATCTGTTTCAGCAGCTGTATCAGGTCTGTGTACCCCTCTATATTCCAATAAGAAATCGCCTTTGGAGAAATCTCTGGTTGCAAAGAGACCATAACCTGTGCAGAAGACAACACATGAAATCCTTATTTAATCCAAAGGTAGATTGGGGCAGAGCAGATATGAGTTATTCAGGTAATAACACTTCCTTATTTTGCCTGGGTGAAACCCGGCATAGATCTTATGCAGGGTGCAAAATAACCGAAGGCATCAAAGGCAATTGCCGTCGGTGCCACTACCAGTTGCCTTGATGCCCCAGAAGTTACCATATTGTTTTGCTATACTTTTAATATTTTTGCCTTCTAAATTGATGCGCCCTTTAATAACTGCCTTAAAATGGTGTGCCCTTCAGACTCCTTATTTTGCACCCTGATCTTATGCTATGAAGGGTGTTTAGTCTTCTCGATCTTCTCCTCCTTCTGAAGACTCTTTGTATAACCACCTCTAGCATAAAAATTGCAAAACTACAGAGCTCATACTGTAAAAGGATTTAATTTTGTGAGGGTATAAAATTCGCGAAATTAAATCCCTCGCAAAATTTACATTAAAACTAACAGTAAATTTTCTGTATTCGCAAATTTAAAACTCTCGCCAAATCCTGCTTTTTCTAAATTCGCGAAAAAAAAACAACCTATGAAATTAAATCCTTTTACAGTATTTGGCATACGCATAGCCCCTTGACCCCATGGGGCAAGGGGCACGGTCTACAGAGGGCAAAATGTCATCTATGCCGACCGCATTTTGGTATGCCAAGCTGGACACGTCAGCAACTTGCACACTCTAAGAGCACGGTTGGCATAGGACATTCTTCAAACACTTTGTCTAGCGGCTTAACATAAATGTATATAACTTGGATAAGAGTTTATAAACAAAATGTCATTAACCATTTTGTTCATTTAATTTTGGAGTTTAATTGAAGTGATTTCGGAGAGGACATTTTTTGACGGAATGCGTCACAAAATTTCAAATCAATGGAGCACATTACCAAATAACCAAATATATTCATGTTTTTTAGTTATTAACTACCGTGCTTCAGTTTCTATTATGGACTAGTAGGTGATACCTAAATGTTGATTTTGACAGAGTTTTATTCACACAAATATTAACATTCATGCACATACCAGTAGGTACATATTTTTGTTATTTATCAAAGATGTCAAACAGATCTTTGTACCTGTAGGTAGTGCTACTGGTGGCCTATAAGTTGGCATAATGGTAATACCATTTTTGAGGAAGTCCATATATTATTTTTATGGATCACATTGTGGACTTCAGCAACAGCGAAAAAAATACACGGGGGCTCGGGGTGAATTAGCCCCCGAAAGATGTACCCTGATTGTAAAACAACCCTTAACGTATACATTAGGGGACAAACCTAAACATAGATGTAAGGAAGCAAACCAAAACATGGACGGTGGAAACAAACCAACACATCGATGAAAGGAAGCAAAACTTATACATGTGTCAGGAAACAAACCAAAACAATGTAAGAAAACAAACCAAAACTAAAACATCAATTTAAGGGAGCAAACCTTCACGTCTGTGTTGGGGGACAAACCAAAACATGGATGTAAGGAAACAAACCAAAACATTGATATAAGGAAACAAACCAAAACATGGATGTCAGTAAACAAACCAAAACATGGATGTCAGTAAACAAACCAAAACATGGATGTAAGGAAACAAACTATGGATATAAGGAAACAAACTATGGAAATAAGGAAACAAACCAAAACATGGATGTCAGTAAACAAACCAAAACATGGATGTCAGTAAACAAACTAAAACATGGATGTAAGGAAACAAACTATGGATATAAGGAAACAAACTATGGAAATAAGGAAACAAACCAAAACATGGATGTCAGTAAACAAACCAAAACATGGATGTCAGTAAACAAACTAAAACATGGATGTAAGGAAACAAACTATGGATATAAGGAAACAAACTATGGAAATAAGGAAACAAATTATGGATATAAGGAAACAAACCAAAACATGGATGTCAGTAAACAAACCAAAGCATTGATATAAGGAAACAAACCAAAACACAGATCTAAGTAAAGTTGGCCAAAAGTCCCCATTTGACCTACAAACTTCAGTTTACACAATGTACACATGAGGATGCGTCGATCCTGGTCATCTGACCATGGACCTATTACGGATGGACATTCATCGTTTTCTTAACAAATTCATTGTGATTGTCTACGTCAATGTCGTCTCAATAACATTCCGTAAATGTTTCTTCACTTTGATCTCATCATGGTCGCCGCCAAAAAGCCGGGACAGAATCAAGATCAGTAATAATACATTTCATATCACCAAAATCGTCTGCTTTTCAACTTTGCTGCTCCCCATTGGGGATGTTTTTATTGAAGACATACTCTTACAGAGCACACCATCCAAACAAAACCCAAGAGAGGGAAACTGCTCCTTTGTCAATGCCCGAAAATGCTTACGCAGTCGTTATTGTTAAAACAGCCGAATGTTCTCATTAAGATGCACATAATCAGAAGGCGGTGACTATCATTGGATCAAAGAAAGAATCACGTTGAATGTCCATCCGTAATAGGTCCATGATCTGACCCAAGCCAACTGTGGACCTGATTAAAATTGCCCATAAGTCAATAATTGATATGCAAAACATTACACATTGGCCTATCATGGCATATAAGTTTACCTGGAAACAGAGCAAACCTTGGCCTAAAGTCTCTATTTGACTTGCAAACTTTAGTTTACACAATTTACACATATGACTGCGTCTTTATCATCTGGTCCTAGCAAACTGAGGACCTGATCACAGTTGGCTCTTAAGTCCCCAGTTGATATGCAAAAATAAAAATATGGCCACAAAGCAGCAAAAAAATAGAAAAAAAAGTGGGCTAAAAATGCAATAAAAAAAGGAATTTCCACGAGCGCATAATAATAATAATATTAAGCTTTTATATAGCGCTTAAATACAAATGTCTCTAAGCGCTTTACAAATATACTATTAGCCCGGTCATAGGATTCAGTGCTTGCCCGCACACACTGTGCACGATCTCCACTCCCTGGGGAGCATTCCAGCCAGGCGTTACTTGATGCTCAAAAAACTGTTTGACAAACAATGACGGCCGCATCCTACTGCTGGGTACCCATTTAACACCTGGGTGGAGAGTAGCAAGTGCAGGTTAATATCTTGCCAAAGGATATTAGTGCATCTCCAGTCAAGCGCCTTAAACCACTCGACCACGACACTCCCGCATAACTTTTTTAGACTAAACCAAAAAACAAACAAAAATGCATAGCGCTTTGGGTTTTGAACCTGTGGAACTTGAGACGAACCTCTTTTTTTTTTGCCTAAAAAAACAACGCATCAATGAAGATTCAGAGAACTTCCAAAAAACACGAAGAAATTAGGAAACAAACCAAAATAACGAAGTTTTGGAACCAAACCAAAACATATATGAAGTTTTAGGAAATTAACAAACCAAAATATAGATGAAGATGAAAATGGCATTAAAGGGACAATGCCAGTGATAAAAAAATACCAATGTATTGGTTGATGTATTTCTTCTGAAACCCTGACTGATCCTGTGATATTTGACACCACTTCTTTGCCACTTGCTCTGGGGAAACCCGCCTTCTTGATCGTTCCTGTATAATACATGCAAGTCAATGATTTGATGAGGTATTGATTCAAGTCAAGATTAACTGCAACCAAGATAGAGATCTTCGATATGATCTACATGTACACCTACATGTACTTTCAACATGCAAAAGTTTCAGAAATTTCTCACAGATGTAATGCTGATATTGCCTGGACTTCATCTATTCTATGGACTATTGCCATACTGACCTGAGTAGACCCATGTTCAATTATAATCCCACCTTAGAAGCTCTTTGCTGGAAGACAATTCTAGTTACAAGCAGTTTTTGCTATTATTACTGTTTTGGTAGTTTCTCTTGTGATTATGCTTCAGTTCATTTGCAGATCTTTGTTAATCACACACCTCATTTGACACTTGAAAATATCTGGAATTCATTTACGTCAGAAAAGGCTGACATTTTGATGCTTGTGTTTTTTTTTGTTAGGATCAAAATGGGATTTTGATCCCACCCTCTAAATTCAAGTTCATTCCAGTGTAAATTTAGGTGGGACTATAATGGGGTTAGTACAGTATTTAGTAACATCCAAAGTGATGGGACAGCAGAACTCTAATGAAACTGAATCATATTTAATCAGCTTTTTGAAAGCAATTTCTCAGTAATACAGCAGGAGATCAAAATGGCAATGTTTCATCACCAGTCAGTATAAGTTTATCAAATAAACAGAAAGCTTAAGGTAACGGACTAAACTACCCAAAGCATATGGTCGTTCGTCAAAGCCTAACAGTACTTATAGTTTCAGTGAAACTTTCTGTGAAAGATTTAAAGGGCGGTGACAACAAATTTAAATATTACAGTTATACTTTTGCAAGTCATATGGTTCTTAAAATAATTAAAGTGAAGAGCATTAAAATGTTGGTCAGTCATGAAATGCTCTATACATTTCAATACCTATAATTAAAAATAATAAAGCAGATGTTTGAAGTGCATGTTATGCATTCTATACACCAACCCGTCGAGCGTTTACTGTATTTGGCCCTCTGTTGACGGAACCACAACTGAATCAGCACGGTACATTTTGATTCTGCAAATTAATACGTGATTGCACATTGCAATAGATCAATTGTGTTGTATTATGTATGCATCAATCCCATGAAAGGATATGAACCCCCTCTCTCGGGACACAGCAGTTTGACAGCGGGGACACCACAGTAATAATGGCTTGGCCGGATTGGTGTAAACAAAAGGAATACACACTTAGTTGTCATTAAACCTTCACACTAGACCATGCTTATCATATTTTGTTTGTGACTGAATGACCAATAGGGTAGAGCATTTCCTTAAAGAGAAGGTTGAGTTCTGGGAAGAGGTAAAATATAATTTGTGAGCGTTATCATTGTGGAAGAACATCAGATTAAACATGTTCCCTGAAAAGCATGGCTCTTCAAATGCCTTCATATTCTAAATATGACATAAAATACGTAAAAATCGGGGGGTAGGTTTTTTTCGCCATGTGCTCGTGTAGTCCCATATACATCATTCTGTGTACAGTGATTGTAACTTTGCCAAGCTTTGGCCAAATGTCTCATCATTTTGATGATTCCAGAACCTTGCAATACACACGAATACTTATATACTAGATGATCAACCTTTTCTGATAGATTCCACACCGTTTCTTTCACAATGCAATCACATGACCAGAACTCAACTTTATCTTTAAGGGAGCATGTTATTCAAAAATATTTTCTAGAATAATAAATGTGACCCAACGCGGGTAAATGAGGCTGATGATGATGTGCGTTGACCAACTTCAGATTTTGTTAATACCTGTAATGCATTCTCCACAAGTCTAGGATCATTTTGATACCAAAATCATTAATTTATTACATTCCTTTCCAGAGTTATGATAAATTTCAGATTGCTTTTCTGGAATGCCTTGAATTGGAAATTCAAAGTTATGTGCTCTTGAGAGTTAAAGGGGCATTTGACAATATCTTCATATTTTTATCTTGGGTTTATCCACTGATTACACTCAAAATGTGATGAAATTCAAAAATCTATGAAGAAAAAAAAGCACAAACATGACAACCCCCCCTGGAAAATGAAGAAAATCCACATTTTGGTAAAAGCACACTGGGGATGAGGCTAATTGACATTTTCACGTCGTAGTCGCTTTAACACTTTTAAATACCTAAACGATCATTTTTAAAAGCGTACAT